CTTACGCCTCCACAAACTGCAGCTCTGATTCGGTGAAGGATAATTTCCATCACCGAATTAGGGATTTCTTTCGTGATTGAAGAAGCACGGATATTATGGTACTTGCTGGAGAGCTAAAAGCTAACGTCGAAAAATTGTCGTCTGATGAGCTATATTAAGGTAGCCAACATAGTGAAGGTTCTCGTAATGATGACAGTGAGCGGTTGCTACACTTGTGTGTAGAGGCTCTTCTCTTTCTAGCGACATTGACTTTCGACATACCATGCGCAGCAGAGTGACTAGACACCCAACAGCCATTGACACTAATCGATCACGTCGTGATGAGTTACTGTTGCAGTGGCTTTGTTCGAAATTGCTGCTCGATTTGGAGCACCAGCTTGGACATCGACCAGGCGCTTGTGCGTGCGCACCTTCGGGTGCTTATCGGCGAACGTCTGCGATGTCGTTCAGATTGCGTTGGTCTTAGCCAACTGGCGAAACCCCGCGTTCTGAATGTGTAGTAATGTATGCTGGCTTGCGGGCTGAGTAAGAGCTCACTGAACACCGTCGAAGATTACTAGTTGCATAGTCGATAAGGGTTGTTAGCAGCAGACATGTGTTCATATGCAAATCAAATAGCCAACATAGATATTGGGTCTAAATGTATTCCCTGGAAGTTATGAATACTCGCCGAAGTATTACTGCCGGTAAGCGAATACAATGAGACTCGCAAAAATCTCAGATCAAAACCGCGCGCTAGCCTGAAGAGAGACCGCGAAATCTGATGGTCTCCTTGTGCATCGGAAATGGAAACATCTGTTGCCGTTGGTAATCATTGTAAGTTATTCCATTTCATATTCGAACCAGGAAACAGGAGACCTAATGTTATCGAGATAATACGCAGCTTCATTAGACAGCCGATCCACAGCCTGTCAAAACCTTTGGAGCATTTGGCCGAAAATTTTGCAAGTCAGTTTGACCAACGTGTGTTCTTACTTTCTTGCTCAGGTCTTGAGTGCCCTTCTCCATGAGTCGACTACTTAGATCACCCGTCACGTGCCAAAGTGTAACGTGAGAGCAGGTTGTTGTTGTAATTGCTTAAGGCCACATACGCAGATAAAAGCTCCCTAGCCCTCTTCATATTCGGAAGACCTCATCTTGTATACGATGTACATGGGTTGCTAGTTGAAATTTGGGAGAAGTAAGCTGTCCCGACAGACAGGAGCTGCTCTGTCTCAGTCTTCTTATTCAAAGGTTGCTCCCTTCCGGAATGCGGCAGTCATAAATGATAAGTCTGCTTTCAATTGCCTCTAAAAGCTTGCTATTGTTTTTCTCCACAGACTGACTGGCGCACAGTAAAGCGAGATCCGCGAAGTGCAAGTCGGGTTTCGTCGAAGTCGAAGCTGCATTGACCATCATGTTACTTTACATCAATTGTTGGAGCACTGACATATTGAATGTTGACCAGTTTTGTGGTGTTCCACGAGAACAAAAGCGCTTTCAGTTCAGTTGATTGATGTGCCATTTTTGACGGTTTTGAGAGAAGGTGTATCCGATAATTACGTAAACATTATCAAAGCGCTGTACGTGCATACGTCGGCCAGAGTGATGATTAATGGAAAACTGTCGCCGCCCTTGAATATCTCCAGCGGTGTGAGACAAGGTTGTCCGCTGTCACCCTTGCTTTTTAATTTTGCTATTGACGAAGTCCTGGAAACAGCTTTTGTTGGACACCACCTAAGCGATGTGAAGCTAATGCTTGGTGAGCGACTACTTGACTTGGAGTATACGGAAGATAATGCCCTAAGCTGTGACAACTCCCATACGTGCTAAGCTACAATGGACCGATTAGCACTGGCTGTCAATCGTTTTAGCTTATGCTTTGCTCCATTGAAATGCGAAGTACTTTTCCGAGACTGGCAGGAACTTACCCTCGAGCTGAACCTTGTTGATGATCAGCAAGAAGTCCTTCAGGAATTAGGTCTCTGGGAAGCTTTATTAACGCCCGTGAACTTGGAGATGAGATTACGAAGAGCATAGCGAAATTTCTAGCTGCTTTTGCTCAACTCCGCCTCTTGTGGCGTATCTACGACATCGCTCTCGCTTTGAAGGTGGGAGTATATAATGCGGCCGTCCGTTCAACCTTATTATGCGGTTAACAGTCATAAACGGGCTAGTCCGTTTTGACCATCGCTCCCTCCCCAGCTTAGCTCAAATCTCGTAGTAGCACCGCGAGAGAAATGAGTGACTTTGACATCTCGTATTTGGTACAGGAAATGATATTGCACCGCTCAGCAACATTATATCACGCAGCAGGCTCCAATGGCTTAACCAGGGGTTGCGCATATCAGCATACCAACTCGTGCGACGTGCATTGTTTGCGCGCCGGAGTACGGTTAGAACAGAGTGAGGGAACGCCAAGTGATGATTTGGTCGAAAGACAGAAAAACCATCACTTCGAAGTTGGCATGGGTGGGTGCATTCCGACTTCCTGGCGGGGGGCTTAAAGTTGATGAACACGTTTGGATGTATTCACTTTGCTGATATGGCAAGGAGCCAGCCCCGATGGCGTTTGTGTTGGGAGTGTCATTGTTCATTTATCACTCTTTTAGTTTTTACTTCTAATTTCGCTTTCATACGAAATACATAATATAATATTTAACATTATATTATATGTTTTTGAATTTTTTGCAGTGAAACTCCTTTATTTCGTACCTATTATTATTGCGACACACTAGCTGGGGTGTGTTTCTCACCATCAGCCAACTTGTATTGCTGATGTGGATGATGCTCCAACAGTGGCAATTTCACTTTCTATCGTCAAGTGAAACTTTGAACACAACGCAGTCATTTGCATTTTGGTACAACACGAGCGTATAGTGATGGCCGGGCAGAAAATAATGTGCCACGCGTAGAACGTGGCTGAAGCATTCTTAATGGCACATTAAAACCATTTTGTTGAAAAGAATGCTCACATTCCCCAGGACGCGAGGCCTAACGTAATTGCTGTCAACTGCAGTTCGATCTCAACGACACTTTGTTTCAAGGCCTTACGTCAGTTACTGATAATGAAAAAGAATATATGAAGGCATATCAAGCCTACCTACCTTACATTCTGGTGCTCTTAGTTGTCGTAAAATTGAAATGTACCGTGAGGCTGTTAAGCAGCTTTCTTATTTCAACATAGATGATGTTAATAATTGACACATAACGCGTTATTTTCTCTGCGTGTAGAACAAGATGATGGGGGGCATGTGCGCAGACCATCGTTTACCCAAAAGTGAATAATCTAAGGGAAGAAATCAGGCGCCGGGTATGGCTAATTAGTAAGCTAGGGTAGTTGTTTCACATGTCACCTCAGCTAACAACGAGAATTCTGACTAACATTGTAAATCTGACAAAAGTTAAGTAACATTGACTCAGAGCATGACTTTGAGGTGAGGTTTGCAACTAAGGAAATATTACTAACTAGAAGCTTTTCGGGCATCCGGATGGTTACAAGAAGTAAAAGAATAAGTTTATTGTAATATTTACTCTCTTCACACTACATGTTGCAAAATATATATAAGTTTTGGCAAAGATACGTTGCAGGTACATTCAAAAAAGCATCCAAAACACATTTTGGAAATATATTGGTGGATGTATGGTTGCTGTCTGCCGAGATCAAGTTATCAAGAATCTTCCCAACAAACCATTAAATCTCAGTAATAAATGTAATAAACTAGACTGCATTAAAAGTCCCATTACCATATAAGTATATATGTTTAAATAAACTGTCGCTATAGCAGATTCACTCCTGGTTGTACGCCGATTATTTTGTTTTATTATGGCCCGGTTATAATATAAAATCGGAGAAAAGCATTTCAACAAGAATGAAATGTTTCAGAGAGAAAGACCTTACCAGGCATAGTGATTGCACCTAGTCATTAAATTATGTAATCCAAAACTTGTTTGCAGATCCGCACAATTCATGAATAAAGACCACTTAAGGATAAAAAGTCAAAATAGGGAAGCCAACACTTTTTGATTGTTTGCATCAGGATACGTTTTAGATCCTCTACTCTTTCTAATTGCGCTATCCGAACGCTCTCAGAAAGCGTCTCTTGCAGATAGCTGAAGCAGTTTCCATCAGACTGACCCAGCTCGAGCTTTGCAAGAAGCGAACCTTTGTACAAGTGCTTCTCCCACTCTGACCACACGGCAGTTACTCGGTGTTGGACAGTAAAGACTTACTATAGGCTGCGTACTCTACCCTATGCGGCGAACAATCAGCTGTGAGGCCTTCTCTAAGTGAATCTACCCATGCATCGATCTAACGTGATGTCTCCATTTAAAAATATGGCTTAGCTGTCATCAGCGCAGCTGACATAACCTTACTGCGTTGCATGTTTCATATTACTCTAACGGCCTGATGAGAATAGTCGAATAGTTATCTCTAGTTGGGCTCCATTCTAGTTTACACCTATGTTTAGGGTAAAGTTACATTTAAACAAAAACTAGTTATGTGCCCTGTTCAAAACCGGTTTTCTCAAAATAAAGAACTACTGAATATAAACTTAACATTTTTTACAATCTCATTTCGTGTGGTACAAAATATAGAGTACACATCAATCAGAGCTTTCGCTGATCATATAAGTCATGTGGTATCCTGCATGGATCAGACTTTGTTAATTTCAGCTTTAATAATTGTAGAAACGTGACACAATTTCTTGAAGCATAAGATATCTTAAGTAACACTATCTGCAGTTAATCTCTTACTTGTAGTTTCAGATCGTTAAGGCAATAATCAAATTGGCATTTGATAGATACATTTGAATTCTTAATATACGTGTTACAGTGAAATTGAAAAACATGGGCTGTTAAGAATGGTGCGTTAAAATTTAGAATGTGCTACTTATTTCTCATGAAGGATTTTAAACCCTCTTTTACTAAGATTAGTTTATTTGGGCATCGTGTCCGCACATTTTTCTACCGACCAATTTGAAACCCATGGGGACAGCATTAGGTAACGTTTCACTCACTTTTACGTTACTAATAATTCTGGGAAATGACGAAACAATTAACACACGTGTCACCGTATTGTCCAGAACTCGCATAAAGCGTTTCGAATCAATTGTTGATAAATGCTTCAATGATAACTTCTGTATACTTGGCGCATTGGCCAGCAAAGGTAATGATGATATAATCGATGCCCTGCGAAAGCGTTCGTCATTATCGCTGGATGTGGATAATCGGGTCGTTGGCTGTGTCATTTTGCGGCTTCAAAACATTCGTAACTAAAATTGCTTTATGCTTCTCTACATGCCATCTATTTGCACGTGGGACCATTTTGAATGTCCGGGTTAATCGAACTTGTGACAGCAAGCGTACCCAAAGGGATCACGTGACAACTCTGTGTGATTCCGGTTGTCCAAATTCTTGAGGTACCTGGGAGGTATGGATGACAATTAATACTGAAGAGTTCACATGCAAAGGCAAATGAACTTAAATAATGATGCAGTTTCTGCGGCCAGTGATGGATGCTTTGCACACTATTTGAATGTGCCAATGTGTAAACCGTATATATGAGTATGAATGAAAAAGCTCATATTTGTTAGCAGAATTATTATAATACAAGAGGTGGGTGCTGTGTTCGGTAGACCCACAAACGATTTGGCTAGCTTTTACTCACAAATCAATAATAACGTGTTCCGGCAGACATGCTTCTTCATGTTAAGAAATTAAGATAAATCATTTCCAAGTTGCACCACGTTACCAACGTTTGGCTTCGGATTTGATCTATTCTCCTTTCTGAACGGTTTCATTGCAGACGTTCCATCACCAAGCGAGGCTACTTGGTCAGTGGGTAGTAAGTACTCAGTTCGCATTGACAAAGTCACCTCGATTGATGGTGCAACGTCTGCACTAACACAGTTCAACACGAAAAGCATATTAAAACCGTGACAGATGACCCGATCTACAGGTATTCCAATTTATTGCTAAAACGTTTGCTGTTGGTTTAAAAGAACTTAAGCCGAATAAACAGTGGGATAACAGTTGATGTACTGACAGTTTACTATTTTCATCAAAAAATGTAGTCACTGCTCACTGCAAGCTATCAAACCTAGTCGAAGTTGTGCTTCTAATGAATTATAACAGTTTTTACCCAGCGCGTGCGTTAATTCATCGACCTATAGCATAGTACCTTTACGCGTCAATTACAGTGGAATTCAGTTCTTGTGCTCACCATATCGCATCTTTGCTTATTATGGAATTGCTACCGATGAAATGACTATTCTTCCGGAAACATTTTATTTACTATGCCCGAAGTAAGCTAAAGCTCCATTCGGTGAACTCGTACAATTTGACAGTGCATTTTACACATCCAAACGCTGAATATACTTAATGTTTCAGGAACATGACAGATTATGTGCTCATAACGAACATTGTGGTTAGACTAGGCTACCGATGTTGATGAAAAATGAGTAGGAGAGACGTTTACGTATTAGAACTGCAGACCTTTCACAATTTTATTTTTTAATTTCTTTCTTCGCACTAGCATCAATATCGATAAAACAGCCTAGCAGTTGTAATGGACTTTATGAAGTCATGCTCATTTTACTGTCTAACACATAAAACATGCAAATATTGCCTTTGCCTATATCTTAGGGCAGTGTTGATTCAAGTGATTATTTTATGTAATATCCTTTTAACGTTGACTAGAAGAAGGTAAAGCAAGCTCAAGTTCGAAGCTTGGACCAACAATCATCAAATTATGTTACAATTGGCTTAAACGTGGTTTCGGCAAAAGCTGGATTAACACCACATATGCATTACGGTGAACCTCGATTTCGAACATTATTTTTTGATTTGGTCTACTTCTTTCTGTTTTTTCTATTTTTATTTCGTGCATGGAAATGTAGCTGACCACTTTAGAGCCAAGTAATTTTTCTTGGCCGGTATTTACGAGCAAAATAAATAGGCTGTACAAACAGGAAAACCGTTTCTCATGAACACATTCAAGATTTTACTAAACAGCGATGTGATTTGAGCCGTATTTGCTGAACCACGGAAGCTTCTATACATGTTCTTTGCATGTTAGTCTTAAAAAGTCCTTCCTCAATCATCTAACTACTCTCCGACGAATTTTCGTGGCGGCTCAGATAGTACTAGAAAGTGCTTCGGTGAAAGTCAAACACTGGTCTGATTTCTATTGATGATGTTATACAGGATGAACTATATATAACAAATGCAATTTACCGGGTTTCAATGCTTGCCCAAAAATGCTTCCACTGTGGTAGAAGTCCAAATTTTGAATCCCTCTACATGCTCGGTTCGCTACCCAACTTAGTTCATATTTCTGCGAATTCAAAAGCACCTCAACGCCATCCATTATCAACATTCAAGTACGGTCAAATTTTCTTATGGATTTTGACAAAACAACGATGTTCAACAAACTGTTATGGCTACTAGAATCGCCGTATACTTAATGATGACCAAGAGAGTACGATGAGAACTGCACACAGATGGACCATTATCTTCCTCGTCATTATTGCTCGTTAGCTGCAGTTGAGAAAAATACCTCAGATACTGTCAAAAAATAAAAGGATAGAAAGCAGCAAAATGTGTGTACTACACATATAATACAGGAAAATATAAATAAGATGTTTCTTTAGATGACACGTTTCGCATCGATGATGAGATAATGCGTAGAAAAGTTATATTAAATCGAAGAGAAAGAAAAGATTTTCAAAAATTCAACATCAGTATATTACCAAAACTTTGGGGCTAAAAGTAATAATCGACCCCTTAGTTCCATATGAACAGATCACGTGTCGGGCAAAGGCAGAGACAAAAAATTTAATTGATTATCAATGAAAACAATGTTTGCACAGAGTTTGATCTGAATCAGCCAAAATGTAGTTCTTGCGCATTCGATGGCCAGGGAAGCAGGAGAGCGCGAACCAGCAACTAATCCGAGCAAAATGGCGGATGAAATAATCGAGCGCAAATTCCTTTACACGTCAAAACTGTACAAAGGTGATAATCTTTCAGTCAGTGCAGCAACAAGATACACACCATTAGGAATACTTGTTTCAGATCCACATCAAGGCCAATGTAAAAATATGCGAGTGTGCGGCGTTAAAAGGTTCCCGCCGCCCCTCGACGGAACCAAAATCAGCTACGGAAATTCGAGGTAGGCCTTCTGAAAAAGCTGCACTACCACGACAGAGTTCCATGTCACTTCATCTCATCAGGTGGAGATAGCAGGCCTCGAATCCGCAGCCATAGCAATAGTAGAAATATCCTCTACATCTTTGGAAAACGGGTCACGACGGGCAACGCTTGTCACATCGGTGAATGACTAATCGGAAGGTCAATTTTGGATTACCTGATGTGTGGTTGCATTTCAAGGCGCAATTTCAATGTAAACCGCGATACACCTAGAAGTGAACCTCAGTAACATCGATCACTAGTAACGTAGCCGAAGCAGGCTGAAATTGGGTGTTGCCCGTTCGAAAACACTGCACAACCACGACGGGGTTTGATGTTATTTTATGTCATCTGCTGGAGATATCAGGCCACGAACATGCAACCTTTTGAATAGTATAGTAGACCTCTACTGATTTCGCTACCGGGTCACGGCGTGCAATGCTTGTCACAAAGTAAATGAGAAACTTGATACTCAATTTTTCATTACGCCTTGTGTGATTGGATCGCGGCGTACAATCTCAATGTAATGGACTGTGGTTCATATTGAAGTGAACCTTAGTCACGGCGATCACTTGGACAGTGCCTAAAGCAGATGGAAATTAGTTGTTGCACACACGAAAACACTTCACAACCACGATGCGTTTCGATGTAATTCTATCTCATCAGGTTAAGACAGCAGGCCTCGATCCCGCGACCATTGGAATATTAGCCGAAACCACTACCCCTTTAGCTACCGGGTCACGGTGGGCAACGATTGGCACAACTGTAAATGACTAACTGGGGGTCAAGTTTGGACTACACATTGTGTGATTGGATTGCGACACGCAATATTAATGTAATGGACTGTGGTTCACATTGAAGTGAACCTTAGTCACTGCGATCACTGGGACCGTACTGAAAGCAGATGGAAATTGGGTGTTGCCCAGACGAAAACACTGCACAACCACGACGGGGTTCGATGTTATTTCATGTCATCTGCTGGAGATAGCAGGCCACGAACATGCAACCTTTTGAATAGCATAGTGGACCTCTACTGATTTCGCTACCAGGTCACAGCGTGCAATGCTTGTCACAAGGTAAATGAGAAATTGGATACTCAATTTTTCATTACGCCTTGTGTGATTGGATCTCCACGTGCAATCTCAATGTTGACTACGATTCACTATTAAGTGTGTCTGGTGAATACAATATCTAGGACAGTAGTCAACGCAGATAGAAATTCGTTCTTGCCTGTCCAAAACAATGCATAATCACGCTACTCGATTTCATTTTATCAAATCAGGTAGAGATAGCAAGTCTGGAACACGCGACATTTGGAATAGTGGCATAAACTATCTATTTAGCTAAAGGCTATTTTCGGGCCACACAAATCTCATCGGTGAATGACTAATTGTAGGGTTAATTTTAGATTACACCCTGTGTGACTGGATTGCAATGCTCTTTCCCAATCTAGAGTGAAATTCACATTGTACTGAACCTTAATCACTGCGATTTGTAATACAATAACAAAGCAAATTAATATTGGTTGTTGTTTAACCGAAAACACTCAATAACCACGACGCGTTGTGATATCAATTTCTCTTCTGTTTTAAACAGCAGGTTTTGTACCAGCAACCATCAAAATAGTTACGCAAGACTACTGTTTTGCCTATCGGGTTATGATGGGCAAAGCTTGTCAAAACGGTGAATAACTAACAAAGGGGACAATTTTGGATTACACATCCTTTGATTGGGTTGCGACGCGCAATCTCTATGCAAACCGCGATTCACATAGAAGAGAAAGTTAGTCACTGCGATTACCAGGTCCGAAGTGTAAGCAGATTGAAATTAAAGGTTGCACACCAAAAACACTGCACAACTACGACGCTTTTCGATGTCGTGCCATCTCATTTGGTAGAGATAGCTCGCCACGATCTTGCAACCTTTGCAAAGGGAGCCGAAACCTCTGGCCATTTGGCTACCGTTTCACAGCGTGCAACGCTTGTCACAACGGTGGATTATTAATTGGAGGGCCAAATTTGGATCACACGCTGTGTGAGTTGATTGCAACGCGTAATCTCATAGTCGACCGCGATTCATATTGAATTGATCCTTGCGCACTGCGTCACTTAGAACGTTGCCGAAGCAGAAGAAAATTGGTTGTCACT